GGGATTTCTGTGATTGGGTTGTTTCGAAGTTTCAGGGTCTCCAGTTGCTTCAGATCAAAAATCTCGACTGGGAACACCTGAAAGAGAGGGACAAAATGAGAAATGATTTTATTTATTTATTTATTTTTTTACTTTTTTATGTGTTACAAACATGTACTGTAACTACATGAATAGATAAGAGACTAAAATACACAGATACAGTAATCCCTACATGATTCAATGGCATATTGCATCTCAGAAGCTTCAAATATATAGTTTTAACAGACCTCTGCCTTCATGTAACAATATCACTACTTGCAGTTTAAATGGTGGAGCATTATGCTTCCTAGTTAAAGTCATTGAAGGTTTATAACAAAGATGCATCCCAGACAAAAAAATGCAAAGGATGTAGCTCAGTAACTCAGTTTTCAAAATTTTCCCATTCCTTTGAATTACTAAATATGATCATTAATTTTGTGATTATCTTGGCCCCCATTCTTAAAGGTTGAGACAGCTTATATACTAAAAGGTATTCTGTATGCCAATAATTGGTCATCTATAATTTTGTAATGTTCTTCATGGTTTTGGATGTACTATTACATTCAATTTGTTAAGTGTGATAAAAATTAATGAAAACAAGGAAACAAAGCACCTACCCTTAGGTCATTAAAAGACAGATTGAGGTAAGTGACAGTAGTCAGCAGGGGTCCAAGGTCTGGAAGCTGGGAAATGAAGTGAGCCTGAAATATATGAGTTTATATTATTATTTTTTATTATTGATAAGATAAATTTAAAAAATGATTTTTGGGGTCAAAATTTCAATATATTCTCATTTGTTCCTTTTTCATTCTTGTAATAATTGCTTTGAAAACATGATGCAATTGAAGGCCCTTTTGCAAAATTTATGATTATACGAGGAAAAAAAAAAAACACTTGGTAGAACTTAACAGATTCATCACTCAAAAACTTCTCTCAAGGCTCTATTAACACTAACACAAACACCCTCCCCCCCAAAAATAAAGATCAAAACTTAGTAGAAATACAGAGCAACCATCTGAAACATCATGCCGTCAAAAGATGGTACATGTAGCAAATAACAAACAAGAACATTAACCCACCTTTAGACTGAGAGATGTCCCACCATTCATCAGGCAGTCTAATATGGCTAACTCAGAGGGGGTTATAAAACCTTCATCAAACTGAGCTGAAATTTTAAATAATAAATCTTATTCTAATTTCTTCCATAAGAAACAGGGCACAATGTAAAAATAAAAAGTAACATTAGTATATATGATAATAATAATAGTAAATAAAATGTGTATATTAAATACAATATTTATAGAAGTGCATGCATACCAGCATATACAGAGGGGCATACTGCCATTTACATATGTAGTATGCACACGCACACTGCTCTCTCTCTCTCTCTCTCTCTCTCTCTCTCTCTCACACACACACAAACACACGCACAAACACACTCTAAAATACTTACAAAATGGAGATCTACTCCTCCCTGTTCCCTGGAAGTATCTGGTAACTCCTGCGTGGAAGATGGCATCTCTCGCTGGCAGCTCTGTGTCTCTGATTATTAAATAAATAAATATATATTATATGAAACTAAAAAACACATGCTGGTATATACTTCCAGGAATAACATAATCAAAAGACTACACAGATGAATTTCCATAATAATAATAGTAGTAAATGAATTAAAAAAATAATTATATAAGTAATGAAAATATTTTATAATACCACAAGTCATTACAGTTTAGATATATTCAAGAAGGACATGTAATTTACATATCAATCATGCAATTCATAAAATTCTTTTAAAAAGTTTAATAAATAGACAAATAAAATGGGTCTTCTTACAGTTTAAGCTCCCTTTCTCTGCTCTTCCTGACTTCAGAATCATCTTCATACAGCAATATCTCTGTGTGTGGTCCATTACCCTCCACACCAGTGCCAGGGGTGTATTTCTTCAGTGGTTTTATCACCGTTTTCACATTAGTATTCAGCAGGGATTTCATCTGTTCTTTGATTATAGACGCCATTTCCAGGAGGAGCTGTCTTTGGGGGACTCGCGGGGTTGGTTCTGGTAAGTCTGATTCTGAAAAAAAATTAAATAATAAATATGTAATAAATAAATAATGAATTTTTAAAAAATAAACAAAAAGCACCGCGATAATGAACCTGATAATCTTGCAGTTTATTAAATGCCATGTCACTTGCTATTTCATACATTTTATTGTGCTTTTTCTTTTCCTTAGAGAGAGAGAAGGGGGGAGAAGAAAAATGGGGAAATTCACAAATAAATTACTAGTTTAAACTACAACAATCATACTCAATTAAATAAATAGACATAAACATGAACAGCTGTAAATACCTACCTTCTACCTTATCATACATAAACATTGGTTCACAGGAAGGTTTAGGGGTTGGGGGTTACAGATTTTTTCTTTTTACACAATTTGAAAGTTGTTAAAAGACCTTGCCCTACCTGGAGGTTCTACTCTCACAGTGTTAATCTGGGTTTGTCTCGGATTCAGCTTCTCCATGAGCAGTTTAGTCAGCCTCTTATAATTATGTCTGGAATACATTGTCTCTTTCACTTCATCCATCGGAATTTTCTCCACCTCCGACATGTGAATAAGGAAATGTTGCAAAGTAAACTCCGGTGGCTGCGTGTATCTTTCATCGTTACTGAAGTCCACAAATAAATTAGAGTCATATTGTAAGGCTGGGTGCCTTTTTGGTGCCCTAGCTGGCAGAGCGTCAGGCCCTCTAGGCTTATAGGGCTTTACCAGCGACCGCCCCTGAACTATGGAATGTTGGGCCGTCGATGCCTCACGACTGTCAAGGATATATCGCCTATCCTGACTTACAAAATGTGGTGTCTGTGGGTGCGTTCTATACGAACTAGCTAAAAGTCTTGATGACCTTGACCTAGATTTTGTCTTTGACCTTGACCCACTTTTTCCAGAAGAGGGGTAGTATTCTGAAGGTGCTGGGGAGGCGAGACTTGGCACTACGCTTGGCACTGGGGACAATCTGGCATATTCTTCCTCTATGTGAAGACTTGATCGTTCTGATCTCGGCGTATCTTCCACTACTTCTACTGGTTTTGGCTTTGGTCTAGGTCGCCTAAGAAGCTGCTTGCTTTTCGGCTCTGGTTGGTTTGACATCAGCAAAGGCACATGCTGTAAATGAAATATAATTTTTTTCTAAGTAGAGAATTAAATAAAAAGGCAGTAGCTTACAAACTGAAGGAAAATATATGCATATAAAGCACACATAATCAGGAGCAACAACTGATGTGGCCAAAAATGTAATTGGGCACATAAATGGATGTTACTAGTAAATGGCCTGACATGTATGGCTTAAGCATGATACACGTCAACAGATCGATCGGTGCCGATATTTGAGAGCACCAAGGGCAAGGCATAAATATACCTGTATATCTGAGCACAAGCATAACCCATTTGCAATTTTATTGCATGTCCAGGGCCCATTAAGTTAATAAAGTACAGAGTCAGTGAAGCTGAGTACGAAGGCTTAACAAACCCAAGTGCATATAATAAATAAATTTACAACTTGATTTTCTAATTACAGTGCAGTTTACGCGCTGATAAAAACAATATATTACAGTCTTTGGTCGGTTAAACATATTTACTTGGGAATGCATCACTTCTGTTTTGGAAAGATTACCATGGAATCTCTGTCAATAGTCAATTAAGCGCATAATTAGCATAAGTAACTCACCGTCATAGTGTTTGGTCCTACTGTGGCCGCCATTTTACAGCCGTTGTCATAACAACAAGACATGCCAAGTACAACATTACTTCTGCATCAGTTTCAGTTCGTTAATTCATATGAAATATTGTTTTGTCGTAAATATTACTATGAGGCATACTTTAAAACTCCTTTATGAAACATAACAACATTATTATTATAATTAATTAAAGAGTCTTGTAGCTTATCTTGCATGTGACAGTCATGTGACCAACACCAGCTTGCAACAGACCGCAATGTCTCGTCTTCAGCTGTTGAAGAAGTTCGCGCAAGTTGTAACTTTGCAGGTGCAACAATCGCGAACTTTCCAGGGAAGTGCACAGTGTTTTAGAAAATTCAATGCTCCTCTCTCTGGTAATGATTTAGCTCGGCCAGCGGGCATTGCGTCGATGATGCGTTTGCCCGTACAGGAAACCTCCGAAGGTACTGTGTTCGGTCTGAATACGTTTACTAACTAGTATGATTTAAATTGTTTTATGTAGTTCTTTGTGCAGGTATGCTAATGGTAATTGTGTTCTAGAAACATACGAAGTGCAAATACTAAGATTAATGTGTCTCGCCATAGTTCAGATCGTATAAAGACTGCGCTACGGCTGTATACTTTGTGGAATGCAAATCAAATGTTGAAAATCAAAACTCCAAGTTTACTAGTATATTATTGAACTAAAATGTGAACTGTCTGTATTATACTTATGATATTAGGATTTTTTAAATTAAAATCAAAGCAGAATTTCAGCAAGTAATTTTACCTGTTATATAATATACTTTTTAAGTAAAGTATATTTTAATCAAAATATAATCATATTCATTTTACAGTTTATTATTTATCATATTTAGTTAGTCAGCTACCGGTAGTAAGAAACACCTTAGATTTAAATAGTAAGGGCAAATTTATTTATTTATGTCCTAAGATTTGGATGTGTGTTTTGTTGGGGTGCCTCTGGATGCAGGGACATCAAATCGATCTGGGACCAGATTTGGACCACGCCAGATCCGGTCAGAATCCTGTATTATCAGACATGTGAACAATGCCACTGGTATGTAAAATTAACATAGTCTTCACTGTAATAAACCTTTTTGGAGTGATTACTGTTCATAATAAGGATTTGAAATTTCATTTGGTCAGTTTTCTCATTAAGTAAATAAAAGGAAAAATGTGATCATATTTAGTTAAAATTGATGCTTTTTCCAGTACTGATAACTCAGTTGAGACAAACAGTAGGCTTTTTGAATTGCATTATTATTATTATTATTATTATTATTATTATTATTATACCCCCAGGAGCTCAGCCCTTTGATTCAATACAAGTGGCAGATGTCGGAGATGTCTGGATGAATATCTACAACTTACCAGAGGCTTGTAAGAATATAAAAGATGGATTCACAAAGTTGATGAGCACTGGCTGTAAGACTTTGGCAGTGGGAGGAGATCACACCATAACATGGCCTATACTTCAAGCTGTCAAGGTGGGAGAACCCATTTATAGCATTTATAAATATTTATTTGAAAAATAAAGATTTGTTATAAACAGCATTTACATGTATAAGATTACCTGTAAAGTTTTCAAATATTTTTGCTAAAACGGTGTATAATTATTTTTTATAAAATAATGATTTATCTCTAGAATTAAAAAAAAAATCACAAATTAATTAATACACAAGTCTTGCAAAATACAGCATTTATAAAGTACTAAAAAATTTATAGAAATTCACTTACAAGACTTGAATTTCTAAACAGGACTACTGTATTAGAGAAGAAAAAATTAGGGTCTATTAATCTAACCTTGTTTTACTATTTTATTCATTTATTACCTTTATTATGTACAGACACAGATGTGTCTGTACATATAGCCATCATCTGCGTCTGTCGTCGCCGTCGTCGCCGTGGTCGCCGTGCACTTTTACCGATAACACGATAAGTGGAAAACCATTTTACCTTTTGACTTGAAACTTACAGAACTGATGAATGTTCATANTATTATTGCATCAAAATTAACAAAATGACCTTTTTTGCATCTTTATTTTCTGTTTTTTGTCTGTACATTTGACAGCTTTGCTGCCTTGTTGAATTCAGTTATTTGTAACTATGAAAATATAAAAAAGGGATAGATAATCAATTTAGTTTGAATCTAGTGAGTAATTACCGTATACAGGAAAAGCATGGCCCCGTTGGCTTAATACACGTGGATGCACATGCAGACACACAAGAAGCAATGCTAGGTGCCCCTATTGCGCATGGTACGCCTTTCAAACGAGCTGCAGATGATGGATGTCTCGACTGCCAGCGTGTGGTGCAGATTGGCCTGCGCGGCACGTGTGGAACGTTACAAGATTACAAGTGGGGAGAGAGCAAGGTGCTGAACTAAGGAAAATGATAATTTTTTTTTTAATTATTTTTTTTTCAGAGTGCCTAACAACCCAGTCTCTTGTCTCTTGCCCTTGTCTAGGTCTTGGTCAGTTGTTTTGTAATTATACCCAGTTCATTCTGTGTATCCATCATATGTACCTAGTATCCAGTCTGTGATATCCATGCTATCCATTATCCATCACATTCCTATACTTGGTATATAGCCAACTCATGATATCCATTCTCACTGTGTATCCATTTCATTTTATGTTAATGTCATATGTATCCATGCTACCTATTCTCTCTGTCCATTTTATGCTTTTTACCCTTCATACCAGAGTGTATCTAATTTTACCATGATTGATATACTACCAATTCTTTGTATCCCATATCATGCTATGCATCCATTATATGTACCTACCTATCTGTAACACCCATTTTATGTATCCATTTCATTTTATCCATCCATCCATCCGTCTGTGGTGTACTGTTCTGCATATGGAAATGTAGTGTTTGTATTTAGTGTTGTGAGTAGTGTTACCTGTAATTGATTTTTTTTTAATGGTGAATAGTTGTACCTGCTGGCACCCTGCTTAAAAGCCCTGCACTTCTCTGCATTTTTGGTTTCATACTTCTACCATCCACCAGACAAACAGAGAAGATACGGGAAAGCCAAGTGTGTTGAACACAAACTAATACTGCTGCATGCATACTGCTAACTTACCTGCATGTTACTAACTCCATCGCATACTGCTGATTCTACAGCTACTGCTGACGCCTACTGCCTATGGATAGAGCTACCACATGTTGCTACAGCGTACCATTATAGTTGAATTCTAAAGCTTTAGCTTTACTGCATGTGATATAAGATTCAGTGTATGCCAGCAGAGGTACTTCCAAGGGAATAAAAAAAATATTTGCAAAATCTAATTACGTACTACATAGTTGTTATCTGTGTTCACCATCATATACATGTATCCAACCTACCCTGGGGTAGCGCTAACACTCACCAATTTAGCCAAATGCTAAAACTGACTTAAATTGGCTAAAGAAAAAGGGCCTGATTTGACTTGTTTTAGTCAAATTATAACCTTTTTGATAACAAATTGACAAAAAAGTGGTGATTTGGCTAAGCCAGAAAAATTGCTAGCGCTACCCCAGCTACCCATGTTGCCTGTTCCACACATCTGTATTTTCATGGGCACTAGCTGCCATGTTTATTTCCTATAGGACATGAAATCTCAAGAAGTTTTTCACGATTTTTGATGAAATATACGGGATACTCATTTTTGCAGGAGGAAAAGAAAGACCTACAACTTCAGCTAGATCCAGGTCTTCTAATTTTTTTTTTTTTTTTTTTTTTTTGATAACTTCTTATTGCCATTTTGTCTTGATGGGGTCTGTGTTTTTGGAGTCCGAGTATAGCAGTGTACTGTTTTTATGACCAGGAGAAATATGGCCCTGTCGGATTGGTTCACATTGACGCCCACTCTGACACGGGAGAGTCAATGTTAGGGGCTCCTGTTTACCACGGATCTACTTTCCGACGAGCCGTAGAGGACGGGTGCTTGAAAGGAACCCAAGTTGTCCAAATTGGCCTTCGTGGCACAGGGCATTCATTGAAGAGTTTTGATTGGTCGATACAACAGGTGTTTTGTTTGTAACTTTTCTGCTTTTTTTGTTTGTTTGATTCGCTTTTATATGCATTCAGGTGTGAATGATCCAGTAGCGGTTGCGGCCTGCTGCATGCTTGCATGAGTATCTGCTGGTTTGAACTTTCTGACTGAGATCTTATATAATATACTGTAGAAAGTGCAAACACAATGAAAAACTTCCCGGTCACCTCTGGATAGTGCAAAATATGATAGGTGTAGGGCACATATGTTGTATGTTCATTCAGTCATTTATGTTCTTTGTATTTATGAATTGACAAATGGTCATTATTTCATTTTGTGTGATTTTATTTAATATTTTATTTTTAGATTACTTGTATGTTTTTGATTTTATGGTACTTCATAGTATTCCCGTGGACTAATCATTTGTTTCGCCTCATTTGATTGGTGGATTGAGCCTAGGTTAACCAGCCACTTTTTTCCAGTAGAAAAACCTTGAGCCATGACCTATGTGGACAAAAAACAAAAAAGAAATCAGAAATGCAGACAAATACAAATAAGAAAAAGAAAAAACAATTGTGTGTCTTTTTTTTTCACTACTTTACAGTTAAGTAAAAATAATTTTGTATGGTCCAGGAAAAGTATGGCCCAGTTGGCTTGGTTCACATTGACGCTCACGCTGACACCAATGAGGGGCTGCTGGGAGCACCTGTCAACCACGGGGCACCTTTCAGACACGCGGCGGTGGAGGGGTGCCTGGATTGTAAGAGAGTTGTGCAGATTGGGTTACGAGGGACGGGATATGCCATTGAGGATTATGAATGGGGGAAAAAGCAGGTGGTTTTATAGTCTTTGACCGAGTCTGCTGATGAGTAGGTCCTAGCTGTTTAGGATCCCTGCTGGCAGCACATTTCAAAAGCTAAAGGCATTTCCCCAAACTGTTATTGTGTGCTGGCTTCTGCTAGAATTATAAAAAAAATTAAGGAATGCATTTTTTTCTTTAATTCAAGTGATGATTTATATTATCATTCATGATTGTATGTTTTTTTTCTTTTAGTGACACATACGCAGTGTTTTTTCATTGCATGTGTAAGATAAGTTCCTTCCCTTCATTCCACCCATCACTGCATTTGTCAGTCTGTCCTTCTGTATTTGTCTCTCTGCCTTTCAGTCTGTCTGTCATTTTAAGTTCATGTTGGTCCATGTACTGGTATTTCCAAGCCACCTTCAGTGTGCTTTAGCATATAACACATACTTAATACTTGACAATAATTTTTTTACATCTTGAACAAAATTCGGGCATGTCATTGCCACTGCATTACCTTGATGTTGTTGCACAGCTAAATAGTTAAGTGGAACAGTCTTGGCAATATATCTGTCTTGCCATTAACTGGATGGGCATAATTATAAAACTAGGCATATTATTTTATATACTTAAGAAAGTTTTGATTAAAACTTTTAATTTTCGTATGGACCCCATCTCATAATATCCTTTATTTATTTATTTATTTATTTATTTATTTAAATTGATATTTTTTAACCAAATGGATGACCTTGTAGTTAGTGTCTGCAGCCTTCAGAGCGGGATGATAAGGGTTTGACCCACCATCTGATATACCTAAAATAGTATACAAAGTTTCACAGTGCCTTTCAACTCTCAGACCCTCCATAGGGTAAAATTAAATGTAGATTCTAAAAATTTCTCTTTGAATCTTGATTTAGATTTCAACCCCTTTGTAATCACACCTCAGAAAGTCAGATTTTTTGTTTTCCAGAACAATGTATGTGAACTTCTATAGAAAAAGCGAAGATCGAGTCCTAACACTGCGACTGCTTAGTATAACTGTCAAACTTCCAGGGGAAACATGGGCCCGTGGGACTTATACACATTGACGCTCACGATGATACAGAAGAAGGCATGATGGGGGCCCCTATTTTCCATGGGTCACCGTTTTATTTAGCCTGCGAGGAGGGTTGTCTCGACACAAAAAGAGTTGTACAGATCGGTTTACGAGGATCAGGGTTTGGGGCCAAGGATTATTCATATGCAAGGAAAAAGGTGGCAAAATTGCTTGTCCATGGATGATTTAAGTTGACTTTACAATTGGCTAACAGCAATTGCACTTTTTTTTACAACACACAAATTAGAATTTTTGGTGTTCTTTCAAAAAAACTACAACAGAACAGACTTTCATTTCCTAAAATGTAATATTTTTAATATATTTTAATATCTTTTATATTTTTTTGCCACTGTTGAAAATAGATAGAGTGTGCATTGCTTGCCTCTTTGTTACTGTATCAGTAGCATCCCTAGACCCGAAGCCATGCTTGCATACATGCAGCATTTTCAAAGGGCGAAGGGAGTACATCTTTCTCTGAAAAAGTGAATCTTTTTATCCCTTAAGTTGAACCACCTTGAGACATGGGATAAAACCTGGATTAAATTTGCATTCAGCCCCTGGAACATTTTAACCAAAATGGTGGTGCTTTTCAACCCCGTCCCCCAAACACCCCGAAAATCCCCATGTCCATGGTCCTGGTTGCGTGTTCCAAATACAAATGCTTATGAAAAAAATTAGTGAAATGAAAAAATCAAATATTTTGATAAGAAACACGGTTAGAAATGGTACAGTGAGAATAAATAATAATATAAAAAGGAAAAAATATTAGAAAAATCCAAATGTGTCTTCAAAAAATACACCAAAGACAGTGCAAAATCTCTTTTGTTGTAGTTGTTGTTTTGTGTGTTGTGCTCGTTTCCCAGTGTTTGACTTCATTACACCTGTCTTCATTACACATTTTTCCAAATCATACTATATGCTTTAGCTTAGGCAGATACAGCAATTGCCCTGGGTGTCACTAAAAGAGGGCACCACTAAAAGATTTAGGCTTTGTTCACATGCAATGTCTATTTTCTAAATTCTATTTTCTATTCGCGGCATGTCTTATGATCATGGTCTGTGCCCTGAATATCCCGCGGCGTAATTACTGGCAGCGCGAGCCAGTTACTATAAGTTACTATAAGTAACTGGCTCGCGCTGCCAGTAATTACGCGGCGGGATATTCAGGGCACAGACCGTGATCATAAGATAGTGCGAATAGAAAATAGAATTTAGAAAATAGACATTGCATGTGAACGAAGCCTTATTGTAACCTTTTATCATCTATTTGTTCTCTTTTGTCTTCTGTTTGTTTCATTGTCAGTGCTATTCTCTGTAGAAAAAACACCGCTTTACAGATTTCTTCCTTTTGATTGAAATTGGTGTCTTAACTTTACATTGCCTTGGGCTAGTTTCAGAAAAGAACTTAAGACAAAAAAAAACAAACAAAAGTATATGTATATTAAATTGAAATGTTAAATAAAATAATAACACTGTATTCTAAAAAGAAAGAAATTCTGACTTATGTTTTAGACTAATTGGTACTTTTTTAAAATTATTTTAGTGGACGACTTAATTTTTGACCTTATAGATGACACACAACATTTTTTAGGTATATAAAAGTTTGTTTTTTTTTTTAAACTGGCCATAAGGTTTTCAATACATGTTCCCTTCTTAATTTCACCTGCTGCCTGCTTTTTATTCAATTATGCAGAAAATGCTTTTGTTGCCTTTGATAATTATTCATTCTTATAATTAAAGATTGTCATAATATTAAAAATGTGTTATTAAATGATTTTATATTTGTTCAAGTAAAAAAAAAAAACATTAGTTTCTTAGTTGGTAAATCCAGTTGATGAATATTTGATTATAATTATTCATTCAAACTTGAGAAGGAAAAATGCAAACATTTAGCATCCAGTGCATAAAACCTTTCATATTAGTGTAAATGTAAATATTTTTCCAATAAAAAAAATGTAGCATTAGAATTTCAAATAATGCTGTCCATTTATAACTCGAGGCATTATTCCCTGTATATATAAAGAATATTTTATGTTCTAGGGATTCCGGATAGTCCAGGCACACGAATGTTGGCACAAGTCACTCGCCCCTCTAATGGAGGAGGTGAGAGAGATGATGAGGGATGGCCCTGTCTACATCAGTTTTGATATTGATGGCATTGACCCTGCCTTTGCTCCTGGAACAGGTGAGAGAGAGAGAGAGAGAGAGAGAGAGAGAGAGAAGAACAAAAAAGAGAGAGAGAGCAAAAAAAGAGGGAGAGAGAGGGGCAGAGAGAGATAAAGAGAGCAATTAAAGTAGTGAGGCAGAGAGAGAGAGAAATAAATGAGAAAGACTCAGAGAGAGGGAAAAAGAGGCAAATAGCCTGTCAGTTAGAGAGAGCCATTTTGTGATAGCGTAAATGACATAAGTTTAAATAACCAATGAAGACAGACAGGTAACAAGAGAGAATGCTGCCTGGTTGTACTGTATTCTTTATTCTTTCTTGAATCAACAAATAACTGTGAAACTAAAAGGAAAATAAATAACAATAATAAATAAATAATAAATATCTCATAAAACAGTCTCATCAAACCAAATTTGTGTGTTACTATACAGTTACATGTGATATTGCTAACACTATTGTGAGACCAAACACTAGTAGCAACTACAGTACATTCTCTAATTTGAAACATGTACATTGTACACTTTTAATCTAACAATAAAGTGTGAATAACATTACTTTAAAACAATATCATAAATGTAACATGCTTACCTTTTTTGCTCTCTTCTAAGGTCTCCTAAGCTAAGGTCCTGCCTGTCTCACTTCTTTCAAATGTCTGCCAAATTCAGCACAGAAAATGCTAGCAGGTCACGTGGACTACTACTCACTTATGCAAATCTTATAAGTGGAGAGACTGAGATTGTGCTAGTTGTGCTTCTAGTACTGCTGGTGCAATCATTGCACCTACACAAATCAACATATTATATTATATTATATTATATTATATTATATTATATTATATTATATTTCAGGCACTCCAGAGATAGCAGGTCTGACCCCAATCCAGGCACTGGAGATCATACGTGGTTGCCGTGGGCTCAACATTGTAGGGGGAGACTTGGTGGAGGTAAGATTTAGGTGAAGTTCCGATGACAGGGATTTAAATGTGTAAATATGTCATTTAACATGCTATTAACGAAACACTAGCAGGTCCAAGATGCTGCGGGGTACATGTGTGTGTGTGATTGTGTGTGCGTGTGTGTGTGGCAGGGGGAGGGGGGGATAAAATGTTTTGATCCCTTAATTGTTTTGCTCGCATATATATATATATATATAAAGTAGCTGCTGTAGACAAGGTTATTGTAATGGGAGGTCAAAAGGACTGTAAATAGTTCATTCTGATTGATTTGATGTGTGTGTGTGTGTGTGTGTGTGTGTGATTGAGAGAGAGAGGGGGGGTTCTGCTGTAACCTCTCTCCCCTTGGTCAACCAAGTACAGTGGAACTGAAATTTCCTTTTTCTTCCCTAGGTGTCCCCACCTTATGATACAACAGGCAATACAGCCTTACTGGCAGCTAATCTGCTGTTTGAGATGCTGTGTGTGTTCCCTGGTGTGAAGTATGCTGATGTATAGACACTACTGACTGCAGTTTTTTTTTTCCACCTGGGACACAGGAATCATTCCCAGACCTATCGTACTAACTGTGGATCAATCTATCTCCAGGGGGATTATCGCTAAATTGTACTCAACTTAAGTGGCTTAGCTGTCTGTCATGCCTACTGAAGCTGTTAAGGAGTAATTAAGTATTGTTTAGCAGATTTTGTAGGTGTGCAAATCATCCAAGCCATTTAAGCTGAAAGCAGTTTAGCAAGAACTTGGAGATGGATCGATCCTGTTAGATTGATCTAGGTATGAGAAGTCAGCCATAGACAAGCAAGGGTATATTTTAATTAGTAGTTATTATTATCTTATTAATCTTCTAATGTACTGTAAACTGGTGCCATTTCTGCTGCAGGGTTTGTCAGGTCTAGACTTAAAACTTGTTTTTTAGGGAGCCTGTTAAAATAATATTTCTCAGGAAAAAACATTTTCATTTTGTGTGCATACAGCCAAAGGAAAACCAAAATTGTATTGTATTCTAGTCTGTGTTAAGACAACAAGATACCTTAGGAAATAACCCAAAGAAAAACAACCGAAGTTGACTAACTTTGTTTACTACCAATGCGACAAATGCATAGTATTACACATGTATCATATATGGAACCATGTTCCAAATGTATTTATTTATTTTCTTACTTATTTATTTATTTTATTATTTATTTTACTTCTTATGTTTAAAATACATGTGGACTCTACATCAAATGAATGCATAACCATGATGGATAGAAAACATAACACATGCTGTTTTTAATAGTAAATTTATTCCAAGCATTTTATAAAATGTGAAACAATGTATTAACAAAACAGTCAAGTGAGTACTGCTGTCAAATTTTATTTGTATATTTTAATTGCGTATAAAATTATAGAAAAAATTTGATGAAAAGTACTTGCACGTCAATTGCACATCAAGTTGGAAGCAATGAAACAGTTGATATTGTTTTCAAAATTATGTATTCTCCAGTTTAGTAAGGAGATTTTTATATTATAAAAATAGGCAATAGGCGGGATATTGTTTAAAATATTGTTTATAATACAAAGCTGCAACTGCCCATGTGGGATTATGTACTCAAACATGCAATAAAATAACATAGCTGTTACCATCAGGTATTTGTGTCTTTTCTTCATACATGCTTTTTCTTATCATATGTTTCTTCTCTTCTTTTCCACCTAGAGTTTTAAATCTCATCTGGTGAATATTCGCTCTCTGTCAGCATGTTATTGGAGAATTTCCCAGCTCCACATTATACTTGTAACTGGGGTGTTTTTTAATCCAGTGATTAGGCATGTTGCCAGTGTGAGATACAGAATCGGTCAAAAGGTACTGAATAAAATGTATGAAAGCAAGGCTGGCTGAAAAAATAGGATAAATATATAAGCAGACATTTGAATTGAATGGAAGAAAATACTGGCCATACAATCAACAAGAGTTTGAATAACACAGTTTGTAAATATAATTCATCAGCTGCTTTCCCAGTAAATGTATATACAAATGTGGGGTTTAAAAGAATTAAATATTGTGTTTTGTGGTCATATTAAAACAATCAACATGATTTAAACCATCTAACATGCAAATGCCCATTTAAAATGGAACTTAAACTGTTATCTTGGTGGTATGAAAGCTATTAAAAATAAGTATATTAACATCAGTTTTTTTAAAGGAAGACATTGTTTGTAACAAAAACCGGATAAAATATATTAAAATTTAGATAAAAGTTTATAACTGGCATTCAACAATTGGTTGTGTAAGAACAGTATTTACAAAGCGTCAATGCACAGACTCATCTGTTTTTAAATATTTCCCACGCTCAACGAGAGGCGATTTCAACCATTGTTTTATCACACGTTTTGAACAGTGTGATTCATCGTATTGCAATGGGCAATAAAAATCTAAAAATTCTCCTTCCGGAAGTTGAAGCCGAATTGTCGACATTTGGCCCTCAGCGTTCCTGCCAGAGCTGGATTCCCACAGAAGAAGACGGTCACTTTCCCGTGCTTTGTTCTCTTTATCTCTGAGAAAACCTGGAGACATGAAATAATGTTTTTATCAAATTATTCTCGATTTTATTAACGTAGGAGTGCATGTGTATGTTTGCATGCCAACCAATTACAAAGAATAGTGTGTAAAATATTTTACGTTATAATAGTGAATAAACAATATACTTCATAAAGACTTGCACTCCTGACAAGTATAATGACATACGGAGAGTAAATAAATATAAATGTGTTCAAAAACTCGAAGTTGCATAAATAACAGAGAGGGTGCTAAATGGGTTAACATTCCTTAATCAATGCTTATATTAGACGAAATATAAATACATGATACTATAGAATAAACCACGTGACATACCTGATCCCAGTCGGGTCTTCCCGCCTGTGTTCGTGTCCTCAGTCCCGTGATCTTGTCACGTGCTTCTTTGCTGTGCACGAGGTCCAGCGCCATCTGCAGAAGAACGCCCTTCAGGTCGTTTTTCTTTACAGCTGCTGTCAGATAAACATTCATGTCTGGAATAATACAAGAAATCTTCAAAGATATTACTATCATCCGTCGTCATTTATTTTTTCCATTGATTTGTATATTATTTCATTTATATTCCGCTAATCTCATTCATTTTAAAAGATTTGTCTTTATCTTGTTTTTATTTATTTATTTATTGAATTATTTTCAATTTTTGAAAAGAAAGAGACAGATTGTCATTTTGTATATGAAACCAATATGTTTGCTGTTGACTGAATCTTATCTGTAATCGGATGGGTTGCCCGGGCAACACTGGCTTTATTTATTCCCTCCTAAATAGATAAATAAACGAAAAAAAAAAAAGACAACAGTTTACCCAGGAAGTGTTCCAGCCCACTGCCCTCCTCTTGCTGTTCTATCTCTAACTGACTCATAAGACTGACGAACCACTCAAACGCTTTTTGATCTCGGGATATCCAGAAGAAATCAACCTGTTGTAATTGATAAATAAATAAATAATGTTATAAATGAATAAATAAATAAATAAACAATGACATGAAGAAACAAATAAATAAATACAATTATAATTAACAATGTGATGGATAAACAAACAAATTATATGATAAATATGACAAATAAGTAATATTTTACATAAATAATGTAATGAATAAACAAATAAATAAATAATAGGATAAATAAACAAACAAATAAATGAATAAAATAACGTATATAAAAACATGCAACATTATTAAAACACGATTTTTAAAATTGATAATTATTAAGTCACCTTTTTGAGATTTTTCAAGGTAATCGGCCGTTTGTCGGTCCAGCCGTGGTTACACCTTGGGCACACGTGTCTGGCTATTTTGTAGCGCAGCATAATACTCTGCAGTATACTGGCGAACGGTGTCACCCCAATACCACTGGCTATCAGTACTGCGTGTTCAGCGGAGAAGATGTGAGCCGAGGGAGAACCGTAAGGGCCGTCAAGGTACACCTGAAAATCAGACATGAGGATCTGTATAGTATGGGATTCAACAGGTATGTTATTTCTTTAATTGTTGCGGCCTGTGTGCTAGCAATTGTGTGACTTTATTACCTAACGAAAGGTTAATTAAAAGATGTAGAAATGTTGGAGCGCAATGACTTTTATTCTTGCAGGAAAATAACTGAAAAAATTATTACCGTTGTAACAGAGAAATGAAAATAGTAAGGGGTGTGCATTTCATCCCATGGTGAAATAACCTGCACTCGAAATTTATATAACACTTTTGTTTATGCGAAACTATGAAAATTAATTCTCCAAAGCGGCTCTGCTTTGAACTTTACGACACGTATTTTCGGTCGTATGCTAAATAAATATTGATGAATATTTAACGTGTGTAAATGTCCTCAAACTGTCATGAAATAAACTCTTCGTAATAAAACTGACCTCTAGCGACTCCTCTTGCGGTGCCTCCTCGTTATCAGGCTCAACTTTGTACACAAACGGCGCGTTGGTCAAATGGCCAAAGTTCTGACCATGCGACTCTCGCCCCCATTTGGTCAAGCGGCGTTGCAAAACCGTCTTTCGCCTCTTAATCACATTTTCCTCGGCACCCAACCCCCCATCTTCTCCTGGAACCTGCAGCTTGTTTCTCTTGGCTGGCGTTGGCTTCAGTGACGGATCTTTTTTGCTCTCATCGACGTTTGGGATTTCAATCTTAACTTCGCTTTCGTCCGCTTGGAACGAAGTATTCTCGTAAGGGTGATCGTGTTTCGTATCATCACACTCCTCATAAACGTCTTCATCGCTCTGACACACGTCCTCGCCCTCCGTTGGTACCTGTAAGCTGTTCCGTTTCTCCTCTTCGTCTGCTTCAAGAATATCTGAAAACCTGTTGAGGAGCTTTTGGCCATTGGCCTTCCCGTTGGGAGAACGACCGGAATTGTCCTCTGCCTGGTGCAGGAGACTTGGCGTGATGATTGACAGCCTACGCCCCGCCCTCCCCTTCATGCTCTTGCCCTTGGAGGACAGCGCTCGGCTCCAACGTTTCCGCTTCTCGTCGAAGAAGTCGTAAAGCTTGTTGGTCCATTGCCCCACGCCGCGAATGTGCAGCCATATGTATTCTGAGAGAACAGATGGATATTATGAATGATTATGAATAATGATAATAAATTTTATTATTATAGTGTATATAAAAGTAATATTAAAATATAATATTAAAATATATAGATAATGAATAAGAGAAAATGTGTAAACATTATTTTTGACTTCAAAATTCATTTTGTATTAACATCTGTAAAGTTCTGTACCTGTGCCTATTTCAGATTGGCCTGAACTGTTGCATGCGCTTTAGCTTTTCGATCTTTATAATGTTTTAATTCAGTATAATTTTGAGGTTACTGTTTATAGGTCAAGACGACCAGACTACAACAAATTTTCAGCTGACCGCATGGTGACATCAAATAGCGCATTTTGAACTATTTCCGGCGATGGTTTGAATTTTCTGAACACAATCCAAGAAGGGTACACACAAGCAATTCTGTACTTAAAGGTTTATTTGTGGAAAACATTTTCAGCCCAAATATTTTCAGACAAACCAAATTTAGACAATTATTTTGCCATCCGTTCCTGTTTGCGCACGCGCCAATTCCAACAAATGAATCTCTCATTTTTTCTCGAGCCACGGAATCGGCCGAGAGTTTCCGAAAGTTAACGACCTACCAGATTGTTCTGGCGCACTGCTAATGGTGAAAGGATGCCATTCAAACTTGGCAATCTTCGGTATATTGATAAAGAGATAGTCTCCAGGTCCGTAGTCGAAGTTAGAAGGTCGGTTGATTACTAAATGTGTAACCTGCAAAAAAAAGATAAATAGGAAAAAATGAAACGGTTAATTCACCGGAATTGCGTTTAGGAAGGGAGGGGGCAATAATTATGTGCTCGTGGAAGAATACGTTCGCATGTGCGTGCACGTGCAAGAATACTTTCGCATTTTGCAACTTTCGTATTTTGCACCCTCTACCAGGCAGATATTATAGGCAAATTTTCAAAGGCAGAGAATCAACCCCCCCCCCCCCCCCCCCCCCAACAACACAATCAATAAATATATAAATGCTCAAGAAGTTGTCAAGATTGTTCTATGTTTACTGATGGTGATCTACCGGATACTTACCCTTGATGCCAGAAGCACTCCTTCCTTCACGTGCGTCTGTCCCTGGTAAAGTCTCTTTAGCCACCTGGAGCTGTAAATCTTCTCGCAGATGAAAATGGTGCACGGGGCGATGAACCACATCCAGAAACGAGAGCCATGAAGGAAAACTAATAACAGCCATGGTGCGTAGAGGAAATGAGTGAAAAAGAAGACCTAAAAACCATATGATAAAATTTTAATATTATTTCACCGTTGCCAAATTGTGTGGACACGTTTACTCATGTACACTGTATGTTCAACATTTGATAAAATATGGGAGATACATTTCTTTTATTTTTTTAATTAAAATTACCATATTGTGATTGAGGTTTAATAATAATACCATAACATTTTGGCCTAAAATACAATTGTACCTGAATAATTAATAAAAAGAGACTTCGATTTAAACATTTTATCTATATTGAATCTTAATTACCCTGAGTGTCAGAGCAACGTAAAAGCTAGCTTGCTAAATATACCTTGTGGTGGAGTCGCTTTTACTACCTGGTATTGCTACTATGGGTTATATATGAAATCAAGATCGAGCTGGCAATACCGGAAACTAGAACCTAGGGTAATCTTAATAAACATAATGTTAAAAAATACCTCAAAATGTCCCGAACGTCGAACACAAGGCAGGGCACCAATCACAAGTACGATAAGAATTATCACCAATAACCAACCAGTGATGCTCGCGGACTGACCAACCCAACCAATCCCTGCCGCTGTTGTAAAAAGAGCTTCGGCAAGAGTGATGTTCAAGGATGGCGAGATCATAGCTGAAAAAATCCATTTGAAATGCGTATTGAATGCACGGAGTAATAACATAATTGGTGTAAAGATATGTGCACGTGACATTTTCGGAAATAACCGAACAACATAAAGCATTGGAAATTACAGTAAACTTTAATAGACGTATGCTCACTTCTTTAACAATTTTGAAAAACACATACAGGTATAAGTTTGAAACAGTTTATCTTCCTATTTGTAAAAACGTCTATATGTCGGTACATCTGAGTTAATTGTTGGCAGAAAACTTTGAAAAATATCAGCATTTGCGGAAGAGATAAGCATTTCTTTGTAAATAAGAATACACTAACCGAAATTCCCAATATGGGCAAACGTATGTATCGTACTCAATATGACGATAACCACCGCCACATATTTGTGATATTTTATATGTTTATCTATAGGCAACCAGTTTCCAATCCACGTGGCTCTTAGTAAGGTCAAGGTCACTCGAAGCATCAAAGCCACAACGAGCGAACAATTAAAGTTCAGTGCCTGTCCTGAAATTGCAAGCATGATATGCAAGATATAAGAAAAATTGTTAATTTTGAATCGTCTTAATTAATTTGTGTGAGTTACATTCTCTCTCTCCCCCCCTCTCTCTCTCTCTCTCTCAAATTTATTATCCTAGAAATACCTCCAAATTAATTAATTCGTTTATCATTTGATTTATTCTTTTACCCTCTATCCATTTATTCAATTATCTACAATTAATCAATTGCGTACCGTAAATGATAAAGACATCGTTTCTATAACGAATAAATAATTACAAATATTTATAGATTAATCAAGCTTACCACAAGCACGTGCCACAATGTCGAACCCTGTCACGGGTCCCTGGTTCACGTCAAAGAAGTAATACTCCAGAGACCGGTGTGTCAGTATGACGATATTGATGATAAAGTACAAGGTGACGAAGATGATGTCCGGAATGCGGTTCTGAGCGTATTCACGGTCAAACTGTGGACAACAAGGACAAGGAGGCTGGACATCTGGGACGAAGTCTGAGGAGTCGGACTGCAGCCAGCTTACTGAACTGAATACAGAAAATAGAAGAAAAGTGTAAAGCTGAGGGAAATGTTCAATTGAATGGTTTTATATAAGCGAGATTTCACGGGATTATTTATTTATTTATTTTGGGGGGCGGAGTCAAAAAATAAACAAAATAATCCTCAGGTATTTTCTTCTGGTTGTTTTCTCATAGGCTCTGCAGAATTATAGTCGATTGCACATAGTACGTATTCTCCGTGTTTAGGTCGTGTTGAGCGCATGGGGTTTCGTGTAGGTAAATCTTACGCAACAACTAAGCTTTTACCGGTATGTTGTCAAACATTCAAACTGGCGCGTTACAAAATAAATAAATAAATAAATAAATAAATAAACAAGCAAACAAATAAATAAAATAAATCAAGAAGAAAAAACGCCTCGCTTAATGTAAAAAAGGGCCTTAATTGTAATCCAGGCAAGAGACACGTGTTGGTCTTTAATCACAACTACCGGTATTTTGTCTTAAAGACTCACCTGACCGTCAAATTTTCAATGACTCCCGGATACGACTTCAGTACGTTAGAAAGCTCTTCGAAGTTGATTCGACCGTCCAAATCCTTGTCTGCTTCGTCTATGATTGAGACGACTAAGTCGTCTATAGTCTCCTCTGAGATAGTTAGTCGACTTTCTTTGACACAGGACTTTATCACGTTCCTTACAGCGCTAAAGTCCAGATACCCCAAATCTGAAAAATATAGTATAGTATAGTATAGTATAGTATAGTATAGTATAGTATAGTATAGTATAGTATAGTATAGTATAGTACAGTTGTAAACGTATGTCCGGCTGTGATGATCGGTAATAAGATTTGTCGGCCGAAATTACCTCGAAGCACGCCCGAAGTATTTACCTTGTACATCGTATGCCTGGAACAGTAGTTTCAGTTTCTCCTCATAGGTGCCGTGGTGAAACAAAGACAAGCCCACCACCCACTCGTGGACATTTAGCCCCCCGGTTTTATCTTTGTCTAATATGTGGAACAGGCGGGCAGCAAAGAAGTCCTGAAATTATAAAGAAAGAAGATACACATGTTTTAACTCTTTCCTTAAATATTTTTTAAATCTCACCTTTCGTTTTCCGTTGAGGACCACGACCAATCTCATGAACAATGTCACAGACAAATAAAGTAGAGTCAAACATACATATGCACCGCTGGGATGGGGGGAGGGGGAGGGGAGGGGGGGTGCATATGTATGTTTGACTCTACTTTATTTGTCTGTGACGTTGTTCAATGTTGGAAAAGAGAAATGATATGTCCTCCCCCACTCCCTGCATCCTATGCTTACGTCTCAAGTTTTTTTTCTAATAAATAAATAAATAAATAAATAAATAAATAAATAAATAAAAAACAAACAAACACCGGGCTTCCTGTCTCCATACCTATGAAATACGAGCACTGCAGAAAAAGTTAACTGCCCAATAGATTGATTGAGCACAATAAACAAGGCAAATTATTTATAAATTAAGATAAATAAAAATTGAAGATTTAACTTTTCTTTTTGTTCATTTTCTCATTTATTTTTCATTCAGCGACAAGGCCTTGTTATTGTGTGATTTTACTCTATATAAGAAATTAAAATAAATGTATTGTAAAAAAAGTATCATTATACATTTTGGTATCCGACAATTCTGCCTTATCTTTTAATTTTTTTTTTTTTAATTTTTAAAAATAAATCAGAATGACACAACAAACAAAAAATCCTTCCCTGTGATAAAAATTGTCCAATGTTACACAGAAATCGAGACCGACAGAGGAAAAACTCAAAACCACACTACTTCAGCTGTCATCATATCAGCCAAGGCAACATGCCAGAAGAAAAAAAATTGGCAGCATTATTTCCTAGGTTAAGCCAAATCCGTGTGCGACGTCAACCAACAAACTGGCATATATATGACGTAAATATTTCGTATAAATAAATGAATATTACAAAATTATAAGCTTGTCGAATGTAATAGGAAGGCAATAATGCAGTACAGATTACTTCGAGTTAATCTCTTGTTTGAAAAGTATTATCTTTACGACATACACTTATTTTAATAAACTTATCTTCATTTAAAACTTTCCCGTCTGTCGGCTTCTTGGTAATACATGTGCATGTTGTGATGTCATCAAATTTTCATGATTTAAAAAAAATGCAAACTCCAAACATCTGATTTCCTTGTGGTGAATATACAACGCGGATATAGATTAATCGAAACTACAGCGTTGCTGTAGTTTCGGAGGGGAAGGGATGCGTGACAGAGAACAATGACTTTGCTTACCACTTAATAAAAGAAATGTAGTTTATGACTTCCTTTTTAAATGCGAATGTATATTAAACTGATAATTGTCTGACACTGCGTAATCACTTGGTTATTACTTTTCTTAAAAACAGCTATAATGTTTGTTAAAACTGTAAGCGTCTTACTTCCTTTTTAAGGAAATTTGACGCGTCAATTTAGATTACACGAACAGGGTCTGTTCCTTAAAGTGTTGTTTGTCTCGGTTTTTTTTTACTGGTTTTGAGTTTCTCAAGTGGCAGCATCCTTTCATTTCTCACATCTATGGTGGTCTAGCAGTGAATACAGCCAATGTAGATCACGAAATAAGGCGAGTCCTTTTTTGCCTAGGGACCTGTTTCCTTTCTACTTTCTCCTCTATTTTATTGGCCGACGGCGTCAATATTGCATTTCCTTTGTACGTTGAAGTCTTATCTCTCCTTCTTACAAGACCCAATGTATTCCAGATATTCTTTTCACACATGCCTTGTGGGACCTTATTTTGTCCGTATTGTTGTTTGTACATACATTTCATACCCGTGCACTGTGTTCATTTTACCCTGGAGAAAATGTGCGTTCATTTCACTCGTGAATAAGCTTATTTTGTCAATATTATTTTCGGTCACGATTTTTCTTTAAGATATTAATCAGTTCTGTCAAATCACTTTCACCAATGACTTAGGGTGTCGCTTCATCAATACCCTTCTTCAACACTGAACAATCACCAGGTGGCAATAAAGTCGAAGCAAACATCATTCTAAAGAAATTTGGCCTTGGGGGCCGAAATGATTCCCATGAACTTGATCTTGTAATCTTTTTTGTGCTTGTCCCATTGATACTTATAATGGCTTAAGATTTTATTAAATTCTATGGCAAACATCCCACCGTATCTTTATTGGTGCGTCTAATGCAAGCGGCGAATGGCATCAAGTTGAAAACATGGACAATTTGACAAAGGGCACATAAAGGTGTTACATAAAGGTGAAAATCATTTAGAAAATTACTGTTGTAGTTTTGTCGATTCATCAATATTTATTGGTTTATAAATTGTCCATAATTTCACAGAATTGTTAAAAATCGGTGGGAATAACGCTGTTAAACCCATGATGTTTTTCCCAAAGCTATCTAAGAGTACGCACGATCCTTCCTATTGAATCAAACGATCGTACGAATTGCAGTCAAGCCTGAAACATGTGCGTGTAGACACGTGTTCACATGCACACGCTTGTACGCAAACGTGCACGCATGTGTATTGATCAACAATTACTACATGTACAGAGAGCGAGCATTAACATTTTCCACGTCGCCAAATTCACATTCAGTCATTTTATTCTGAGCGAAATTTATGTGGAAATCTTCACTATTTGAACATGTTTAGTAATAAAACACAAACCCCTTATCGTTTCAGTTGATACTTAAAGGGATAATAACTCTTCGTATGAGATCTATATTTCACAATAAAAACATTGTGAATAACTCATAGAAATATAATATATTCTGTTTTACCACAAAAACAGCAGTTATAGCTATTATTCTGATATCTGAGCTTGTCTTCAGACCGCGTGACCTCCATTGATGGCTATACTCTGTTAAAATCTCTTAAGAGATTTAAACAAAAAAACAAACTTTAAAGAAAAAAAACAGGGACTAACTTTGAATGTAAAAATGGATTCATTAACCATTGGTAAGTATGGGAAAATTGTTGTTTATTCCAGGAAAATTCATTTTTTGGCCGAAACGAAGAGTTATTATCCCTTTAATATTGACATCATGGGCCGTGCAAATAACGGACCGGCCGAAGAACAGTCCACTCTTTGTATTAAAACAATGGCTACTTCATATAGGACAATACGATAAATAAATCATGCTATATAAGTCAAGACGGGTTGTGACCCCTCCGCCTGTTTATATTGCATTAGAGAACACCAGGTCATCTATCATATACTAAAATGTAGGCCTAGTGAATCTCTCCCCACAATGGTTACGGCTTGCTCATGTTTTTATTTGTGACATACCGTATTTCATGGCATGACAAAAAAAAAATAAATATAAAAAAAAATAATCGACTGGTTTTCTCTTTATAACGTGTATGTATCTTTTTAATGTAATGGCGCCTAGCCTAAATATGTTACTCTTCATGGTGCATTTTATTTCAATTTGTTATTTTTAAAATATTTATTTATTTATTTATTTATTTATTTATTTATTCATTTATTTATTTACGTATCTACAGTGTGTCTATCTATCTGTCTCCCAGTATCTGTCAGTATGTCTTTATTACAATAATTTTCATTCATCATTCATACTATTTTCCGTAGGGGGTAATTGGATAACCGCCATGTCCCCACATAATATATCACAGTAATTATTTTGACAGCCGTGTTACAAAATGAACAAGACCTCGACTACCGCCTGTCAGGGCTATTGGACGGATCCACACCGGCCAATACAAGGTGGGAAATAGTCGGAAAAATATTGGGCGAATTCGTTTTATTCGTCTTCTAAACCAAACTGAGCAGGCAGTGATTCAGTTTGACTGAGAATGCATGGGGTTTTACGTGTGTGTGTGTGTGTGTGTGTGTGTGTGTGTGTGAGAGAGAGAGAGAGAGAGAGAGAGATTGAGAGATAGACAGTCCAAAAGAAACAAAGAAAGTATAACGACACCAGCTAACCCTATCCCCCATCTTAATTAGTCCCGTGTAAACGTGATGCGTGAGTGAAGCGAAGACGGACCGGACGTTTGCAGTTTATTTTCTCATTAGGGCAAAGGTGTGATAGCGTGGTCAGTTAAAACTGAATTCCTTAGATAATATCGGTGATGTCACCCAAATCTGCTTGCTCATAAACTAGAACTTGACCCAAAATCATTTTGTCAATCTCTTCGAGTTACTGTACCTGTCAATGACGGAGGTTTTTTCCCCCTTAAACTCAAAGACAAAAGTGTTACCCACCAATCTTAATCTATCAACTTTCGAAACAACTTCCGTAAATGACGGTTCATAATGAGCCTGAATGGAAAATGCGTTACAGTCATGACCATTACATAAGTTAACTGATCCTTATCATTTTACATCTTTCTTTCCTCGTATTCTTCCTGGGGTAAAGCTGACTCAGACGTACTTGGGTGGTAATGATTAATTGCATATAAGAAAGAAATTAGCGTGTCACCTATTTCTTGAGTCAGAGCTGCATGTGCAGTGAAGGCGCCAGGTGCACAACTTGGACTTTGAAAATAAAAGAAAGAGGGAAGGAAAAATATTGAAGACGATTTTCTTTCGATGTTCAGCGAATTTCTCCCCTCCTTTCTCTCAGTTTTACTCACAACTGCAAAAGTAATGTGTATCAGGTATTAACGGCCAATCAACACTGATTTTTTTCCGCACTTGGGTTGCTACAATAATTTAAGACTTCGTTAGGTATGTCCGATGAATAACAAAGAAGAAATAATACAAATATTGCATACTCGTTGGTCGCCGGGCATGCCTATTATGATATGTCAGGTGTAGTAAGTTGCTCAGTTGGTCACATCATGTGAAATAGGCATCACAAGAGATTTGAATTTCCTCAGTGTTTTCAAAGTATAGGCGTTTTGTAGTTTTCCATTAAATCATCACTCACACAAGGGCACGCACTTATGCTCGCACGCACGTTGTTCTCCCCCCTCTCTCTCTCATTACAAACACACATAAACACACGCTCACACGCAAGTACGTACACACACACGCACCCTGGGTATCCAAGATTACTCGTCCCTTCCAGGGACACACCAATAATAAAGACAGGTGTTCACTAAACCGTGAACCTCCGGGTGCAGGTCACTGTGACCTCGGACACCCTGAAGGACTGTCCGATGTGCACGGCCCACTAGAGGATAAACTTTATTATCTACACCTCTTAATATTTTTGAAAGGAAACCCTGGTACCATGTGTCGCTTATACAAGTGTGGGAATTGAATACTTTTGAAACTATCACGTTATTAGAGAAAGCGGGAGATTACAGCAAATATTATGTGCTGAATCGGTCTTTGTCATGAGGCCGAAAGCTGTAAAATGTACCTTGATAATAAGGCAGAGGGATTAACAGATACAAAGAAGATAAAGTGGGAACTAATCCACCCCTCTTGCATACTCTAAAATAGCTATGAGACGCGGGTGTGTTCTGTCCCCAAATGTGCATATATCACAAAAAGGGACGAGCTATCAGCCACCAAACTTTGGCGGTTCCAAGGGACGAGATAAAAAGCAAACATAAGTGTATAAATAAGATCTTTTTAAGAAAGACGGCAAAACTGGGACAAGCCCAATCGAAGATATCTCGGCTTCTCCAACCACAGAATACTAAATCTGATTACTTCGTCACCATGAAAGATTTGATTCGTACATTTTAGATCTCAACAATTTTAGAAGTTTACACCTTAATATAGAAGTAAATAGCAATTGCAGAAAATATCAAAACTGAAAGTCATCCGTCTCGTCTTTTTACAGAATATAAAAAGCCACATTAAAATCCTTAAATGACTCAGGTCAAATTTATTTAAAAGTGCATTGAGTCTTTTTATAGTTCTTAAAGTCTAAAAGTGCTTTAACGAATTAATAGTAATTAAAAACAAATCTTGTAAATGAAATAAAAATCATGATTCGTGTATTGATGGTTGGTTGGCCAACCTTGAACATCTTCCAGTAGGATGTCCGCCGCTTGTTTCCTTGTAATAGAGATGTATCTGACACTAATTGTGGGCATTATGGTCATTTTTGGGGTCAAGCGCCAGGAAATGGCGTCTTTTAGGAGAACACTTCACTTGTTTCGATATAGCGAAAAAAGAGACCGATTCTAACGAAATAACTTATCCTTGTTTTTCTTTAACAAGCTACAGGTTTGAGCACCACGTTAATTTTTCTGATGAATTTTACTATTTACGATGCTGTTATTTCATTATGATTAATTGTGCAAGAAAACACCCATTCCCCAAATATAAAATAATCATTGATTAATTAATCAATCAATCAATCAATCAATTAAAAGATCGAATAGCGCCCGGCGGGGGACAGCCTTTCCAAGTCAGACTGTGTAAACGCGCTCTGATCCATGGGGCAAAAACGCGTACTGTAATTATAACATTGCGTGAACATTCCAATTCAATATAATGACGCCAGGTTCCGACAAAATTATATCAAACGAACAAAAGGCAGACGATTTCAACGTGAAGACAGTTGGACGTCACTGGACTTGTTATTTGTTTCCTCCATTGTAAGAATAAAACGCGATATTTTCCGAATTTGAGCAGCGAAATTGAAGGGATTCGTGTGCGCGTCGCAGAACGATGCATGCTTTTAAAGGAACTGGTGCGTAAATATTTTTCTTGACGTCTGTTCTTTAAGGTCTTTGCTTACCTGAGGATGTAAGTTATTGGGCGATTTTTGTACAGCCTCTTACGAGATGTGTTGTGTAACCTCATTTTGTAATATCTGTCGTGTGATCTGCCTCGTTGTGATGAACGCCCGCTGCAGACGTAGAGGTTTATTATTATTATTATTATTATTATTATTATTATTATTATTATTATAAATTGCCCAAAAGTTATCCATTGGGGAATTCAAGATTTTCCTCAGGACTGCCTGCCGCACTCTCAAATAAAGCAAGTGTAAATTCATGCCAATTAAAAAAAAAATGTAATCCGACTTCCCGAATGCAATGGACGCCAATATAGCCATTTTAAAGCGCATCGCCTGCTGATTCGCAGGGCGAATCCTCTATTACAACAATAAAGTCGTAATTTCACGCACTGAGCCCACGGCCTCAGTTGCAATCCGACGATGGCAAACACACTCTCAATCCTACACAGAGCTCCATATATAGGACAAGTATTATTAAGTTATTTACATGGGTTTACCTAACAATGAAACTTGAATCAATACGAACGAAAGGCGAGTACCGGGTTTAAGTATTTGAGTTTACATTGTTACTGGGCGTATTAAAAGTGCACTGTACCCCAGGGCTTCTAACCCGGTAGTATAACCCCGCGCTATTTCTTTGAGTAAAACGAGCTGCCTCAAATTTAAGCACTGGATTATATAGTGGTGCAGGTAGTAGGCGTTGACAAAAAGTGTTCGGAAAAGAACGCTTCCTACCCCCATTGCGTAGGTTGACGTCCTTTGATTGACTGATTTTCGATCGATTAAACCTAAAAAGGCAGGAAGAACGTCGTCGTGACTGTCCCCTAACTCTCCCAAGGTCATCTCTTTTTGTCAACATCAACGAATTGTTCCCTGTAGTATTTTGCGAATGGGCAAGTCTGACATTTTTTCATGCATTTCCCATAATTCTACGTATTTTTTCAGTTATTTTCATAAGTGTACACTGATTTACTCATGCATTCGTCCGTTTTTCGTCCATCCATCTATTCATGCAAACCGGAACAAACATTTCCAGTAATTCGTGTATCCATACAATACACCTATCCATCTATGCATTTTCTGTTGTTGTTATGCTGGACACAAACATGCTACATTAACATGCATGCTATGGCAGAGAGCCCTGGAAAACCCGAATATAACAGCCGTGGGCGAAGACCCAAAACATCGTCATGATGATAGTGCAGAATTTTACTCTAATTTACTTTTTGCAACTTTTTGTGCACACACTATCACCATAGTCATCAATCTGACAATTCTTTATTGCCAATCGTATTTAATCGTGCAGGTAGGTGGGGGGGGGGGGGGGGTTAAGGGGCTTCGAACGAACCTCCCTTCTCCCTTTTGCCAGGAAAGGGTCCGCTCTGGGCAAAAATTGATCTAGGTTCAGGAAGGATTTTTGTGAAAAGCCTACCCCCCTTTCCCTTTGAAGTGACGGCTGCGGGCCTGAAATGTAACAGTACATGTCTGATCTATTATTAACTATCAATCCCCCAAACTTTCACGAGGCATTCTCTTCTAACAAAGCGGTACTGTTAGCTAATAAGTGGCTATCCCTCTGACCGTAGCTCCGTACTGGTTACACTGCCCAGTCTGCGTACTCGTGGGGAATGTTAATGTAGGCCCGTCTCTCAATATTTCCCGCAGGTCTAATAAGTATTATATAGCACGCCCTGTTAAAACACAAACTATGACGATCTTGGGCCGCGTCTACAATCTCGTTTGCAAGAATTACGCCATCCCTTTTTTGTTTATGTTTTACAGTAAAGTTAACGTTAACCTTAGCTAAGGCTACTTCAAACTACCTCATGAGTCCCTGGTTCTTAAAATGCTCATTAACTCATTGGGGTCACCAGACGTGGTCGAGTTTGGCTCGTACCGACGTCGAGCCATTTTGGTTACTGTGTAAACGGTCATTTCAGCTCATCTCATCCGTATCTGAGACAACTGAATCAAGATCGCTATCAATACAGGTGACGAATTTGGTGTCGTTATAACTAGTAGTTTACTGCAGTTGCTTCCGGGAACTACCGGTATGTGCCACGTTTTTTTCCCATTTCAAATATTATTAAACAGATCTTCCCCCTTTTAATTGCATTTATCAAAGGCTTGACATTTTCTTCTGCTTAAGAGTGATATGTTTAGTGCATGCTACGTATATATGTCATAATTGCGTTATATTGCTATAAGACCTAAGCAAAAATGTGCTAGATTCAATAATGATTGATTGATTGATTGATTGATATGAAGAATCATCTTTTTATTAATATGCATCATATATAAACTTAAACGAGCTTCGACCATACTGTACATAATGACTGTGCTAAGTTTAAACAGGATTTCCAATCAAATCTCGCCAATTGTGCCATATAAAATGACATTAGTTCTCAAGAAAGTTGGTCTAACCATGGAAGTATATGATATACTTCCATGCTGTAAATGACCCCTGGTATAGCTACTTAAACCGTCTTCACGCCCCCCTCCCAATTTTACTCCCCTCTTATCCTGTATAGTATTTAATGGAGGGCCACCATTTTGAGCTACAACATAAACGGACCACGGATCGTCGTCTACATTTAAGTGACTTATTAATACATTTATAAACTCTGTCCTGCACTGCACCCTACCTCCCCCTCCACCCCTTCCTCCGAGTATAATCGGAGATCAATATATATTGATCACATATTGAATGGATAACACAATCTGGCCGTATGGATCGTCAGATATAGTACTAGTAGCATTAAATCAAACTGGGCCGAAAGACCCATTGTTGTGCTGCAGCCCCACCTGACAGTTGTTATACGACTTTTTCAACATCACCCCACAGTTCAAACTCACCTCCTTCAGTGCAAGCGCCTTCTTGAATCCCTCAAGTGTCACCTCCCCATCTTTGTCAGCCACTAAATCGAACTGTTTCTGTACGTTGATGATCCAGCGACTACTGCTGGCGCTCATGCTGTTAGGTCGGGACCCTGGTGTGTTTGACTGTGACATGACTACTGCAGCAGGTTTTTAACTTTCGAAATAGGGTGACAAATTATATTACTGTGACAATAGTGCGTGTGGAATTTCTCAAGTCTCGTAAGTGACTTCCACTTGCTTTAATAAAAGTACACGTCTTGGTGTGATTTACATAGACTAGCAGCGTTAGTCTTTACTGAAATTTGTTGGTTCAACTTTACGTCGGGTTGTTGTTATATATTAGCCAAGCTAGTGAGCGGACGCTTATTGCATGCGGCAAAGACTACTGTTTGAGTGCGTTCCAAGTTCCTGTGCGTTTTATCTTTTCCCGACAGGTCCGTGTAGTGAAAAAGCTGCGGTTTACTAAAAACTCCGCCGTGTGCGCGTCTTGAGCGATGTTAACGCAGTGACTGTCAACACTAACAACAAGACGCACTTTTGATTATCCTAGTGAAAGGCGCTGACTCACTGGGGCGAACGTAATTTTGGAATGGGGGAGGAGTTATTGTGTTTTCCAAGCGCAACTCCCGATCATAATAATGTTCTGATATTTCTAGAGAAGTCAACGCTGGGTGCCTTTGCCTCAACCGAACTCCGACGGTTAGCAAGTGTAATTAGGTGTATAATGTTCTGACTGTTGAGTATTCGGGAGTTTGCTCAACGTTACAACTCAGAAAAGATGTATCTCTGCCACAGTGACATATATCTCTCTAAAAGATTGGACTGAAAAGTTTTCCACATGGACAGACCTAACCCAATTTCCACTAAAAGCGTTTTATCCGTCTTGAACAGCTATCACCACTCGTAGGTTCTATATAAGGCAGAGATGAGCGCGAACATTTTCGTCAGTGGTACAAACGATCCTTTTCGAGTATGCTTTAAATAGCCGAAAATCTCATAAGCGCTTGTGCTCAAATACGCAAATGACAATACCTGGTCCTATATACCTTGTACAACCTGGATTGGTTTCCGAATTTTTTTCACTTATTTACTTAAGGCGCAGCTCCGTCAACCTCATCTTCCCTTTGCCCCAGTTATTAGGGGTATAATCTTTTGATCATTTCCTGACGTTATTACTTCCGAGGGGGTAAAATTACAAAGCGCCGTCTACGTCACGATACACCTGACACCCCGGAGGAGGGTTTACACAAGATGGCTAAAAACCGAAAATAGGTCCGAAAGTTTAAATCGATCGTTGCAGTCTACTTTGACCTTACGTTAAATCAGTATCATTTACAAAAAAAAAAAAAAAAAAAAAAAAAAAAAAAAAAAAAAAAAAAAATGAAGAAAATGAAGAAATCTTAAGGAAATGTCCTTATGATACTTCTGATATAATTTTCTATTTTTTTCACATGCATAGTTGACACTTTTATATGTATATTTACGTCAACAATTGGACATTTAAACCCGATTAAAGTCAACCAAAATTAATGTCTCTTCTTGTAAAATAAACAATTTTATACCAGGGGATGTGCTGATCAAGGTACTTAATCCTGAGTTAAGCCCGTGTTAAGCCAACTCGAGTTTCTTCAATAGTTTAAAATTAAAACAATGAGCGTGACGTGTGTTTGCGCTTATTGTGAGTTCTTTGTGAATCGTGATAGTTGTTAACAATAAAACATTTGAAGATGTGCTGACTCATTGGTAAAGTCGGGTTTTTAAAGGTTAAAATAACATCGCCTGGTCCTAGTGCCTAGGAAGCCCTTGACTGCATCACGATCGGCATGCCTCGCCCTTGTGAGTAGAAATGCTCAACTTTAAATTTTGAATTAATATTATGCATGCCTTTAAGTCCTCCTCTTTCTTCTTCTTATCATCATCACCATTATTCTTTCACCTTTTCTTCTTGCTATTATTATTATTATTATTATTATTATTATTATTATTATTATTATTATTATTATTATAAGTATTAGTGGTAGTCGTATCGTTATACAACTGTGCCATTAGAAACTACATGTATATGTGCCATAAATTCATGTACACTGAAAAAGTTCACGACGAACTTATTAAGGTTTATACTGTTGACTTATCCTTCACTTAACACCCTTTTTGCGCCGGTTTCCATTTCGAAAAAACTCTAATCCAGTGCTGAATAAACAGCGAATTTTACTTGAGAAGCACGTTCCACTAAAAAGATGTGCTCCTTCTTAATTGATCGGGAATGCCTTTTTTTAGTGAGCTCGTTTTCTAGGTGGCATATTCACTTCCAACAGCACCAAACCAAGCCCATTACTGTCTCTTACTTCAGCGGGTGGTCTATATGTTTCATGCCCACATCTATTTAGTTTACTTCCGACAGTGTAATGACGTACAGAGCTGGAATATTATTTTGCATCAATGTAACACAAAACCATCTTCATACTTGTTAAAACAAGTTAGTTCGTCTTCTTCGAAATATATATTTATTATATATTTTTTTTCATTTAAAATTAATTTCTCCTTTTTATTCTGTTTTTCCACATTTTTTGAAAAAAAAAACGTGGATGTATTCGGTCTTGAAAAACAAACGTTCTTGGCTGCCTTAATAATAAGCCCCTGGTGAGAATATATATGCCTCAAAACTCAACCCATAAAAACTCCGCCTAGCCAAAGTTCTTATTACATGTCCCGGAAAAACTTGATGTTTAATGGTAAGGCTCTTTTATACAAATAAAATCGTTTTTAGCTTATCTTTGACAGCTGAAGTAAGACACACTTAACTTGTCTTTAAGTCGACTTGCCTGTTTTTGTCTTCGGGTGTTTTAACATGGTAACTAGTGTTATTTGGCTTAGAGTGAAAATGGAACTTGTTTCACAGTGCGGTAGGTGGGACGAGATGATTGTGTTAACTGGGTGAGACAGCCCACTGGGAAAAAAAGCGCAAGTCACGTATGAGACTCATAAAATACTTTGTAAAGAAGCAGACCGACTAAAAATGATAAAAGAAATTGATAAATATATGAACAGATGTAATAAGAAGAGGTTTTTCCGGACTGAGGATACTGAAGCCAGGTCTCCTGCGTCGCAGAGCAGGATACTCACCACGATGGGGCCTTTAATATCTTAGTAGAACTCCAGGAATACAAGCAGCCAATTGGAAAATTTTAAGATATAATAAAACATCAACTTAAGGAGAGTTCTTTGTAAAACGCTGTTTGTACCCTCAACACAATCGAATACTGAATAATTAGATAGATTAGTTGAATTTAAATCACACAATTACGGACAACATATGCAATATCCAAAAAGCGCCATCTTTATTAATGTTGAACGAGCATGAGATACTTTCAGACAGCATATTAGAAAAATCAAATTTGGATATATTTTTTAAATGGGAATGAAGGAAAAAAACAGTAAAACAGTGCCTCCCCGACGGGGAATCGAACCCCGGTCTCCCGCGTGACAGGCGGGGATACTCACCACTATACTATCGAGGACTGGTTGCAAATATTATGTGAATACAACTTCGTGACAGTGAAATCTTGATAATGTCACATCTACTATTTTATTTTTAACACCTATAAATATGTGCTGGGTTATGACCGTCGATGCATAAAAATGTCAAATAAATGGATGATGATACTATATTGACAATTAAGTCCCGTGAAACAAATGAAGTAATAAATAAATATTAAAGACATTTGTTTTGTTCAACTCTCACTGGACAAAGACTTGCCTTACCTACCTGTATGCTTTATTCATAATCTGGTAAAGCTTGCAAAGAGCGCAGATAATACTTATTAACAAGTGCCTGAGAAAAGAACTCAGAACAGGGGGATTCCTTACAATACAAACTTTGTGAAGTGAATTTTAGACAAGAAAATTCTATTTTGACATGACTGTACAAATGAAAACTGCTCTCCACTGGGACTCTGTAGGTTGTTCCAAAATTGGATGAAAATGTAAGATTTAAGATGATCAGGGTGCCTGCTCTGTTGTAACAATAAAAAAGATTTAAAAACGGCACAGTAGCAGAGGAATTCTTGCAGTTGCATGGTTAGCGTAATCACACAACTGGGCACCAAGGCTAGGCAATAGTCCCTGTTTGACCAAGAAGTTATAATGATAACTTCTTGGTTTGTCGATGATACCTCCATTTTCGAAATTTGCAAATTTGGCAAAACACCGCATCTACCACAAGCAATAGACCAATTGGCTGACTGGGTCAAGCAAAACAAGATGAAACTTAATGTAAAGAAGATTAAGTCGATGGACATAAATTTTACCAAGAACTGTAATCTTACAATACCAACATTGGAAATAGATGGTGAACGTGTAGAAAAGGTCAAAAAATTTAAGATATTTGGTGTTATTTTAACCCCAGACCTCAAGTGGGCTGAACACATCCAAATCATGTATGCTAAGGCATGTTTAAACCTCTTTTATCTCAGACAGCTAAAGAGGGCAAAACTGGACATACAAGATTTATTAACTATTTACCAGTCTGTAATAAGATCAGTTTTAGAATATGCCTGTCCAGTATGGGGACCAGGTCTGACTGCTGAGCAATCTGAATGTCTAGAATCAGTTCAAAAGAGAGCCTTAAGGATTATTTGCCCTGGTCTCAGTTATGATGATTCCTTAAAAGTATGTAACATTGACACCCTAGACAAACGTAGACATTTGCTGTATCAGAGGTTTTATACAAAATTAAAAAATTGTGAAAAGTTAGGACATTTATTGCCTGAAACAAACACCCGCCCTTTACGAAACAACACCAAATTCTTACAACCAAAAGTGAAGACGGAACGTTTAAAAAATTCCTTTATTAATTATTGCCTTTTTAACTTGTAGTAATTTATGGATGCCTTTTTAATTTGTAGTATTTTAAGAATAATTTATTGTTTTATAATTTAAAGTTTATTGTCAATTTTCTTTTAAACATTCTTTGTACAACTTCAACCTTAGGGTTGCAATTTTATCTAATAAATTATTATTATTATTATTATTATTATTATTATTATAAATAAAATTAAATATCCTCAGGATGGTTGCACGCCTCTTCATTCAGCTGCTAAGGCTGGGTATGAAGCAGCTCTCCTCATTCAACAAGGGGCCGATTCCTGCAGTAAAAGCAGAGTAGGTATATGTATGTCACTTTAAATACCTTACCCCTTTCTCATGCATTCTCATATGTGAACATTATATGTGGGTTCTATACTTACTAGTACTGATACGCGTATGAACCAATTGTGTCATGTCATTTATCTAAATATATAAAGAGAAAAAATGAACTAAGTAAGTCTCTTTTCTCGCTGTTTAATGCAGCCCTACAGCTGTTACGGCCCGGAGGTCTCATCAGGGGCTCAAACAGATCAAATACAAAATCTTAGTTCATTTTTGTCTCTTTCTATATTAGCTCTCCAGTTACTATGGGTAGAGCTCTTAGCCAAATTGAATAGTATATAAGCAATGAAATAGTCTCAATCGCGAATTCCAAAGTCAAGTCCAGTCCCTCACCCTGAGCTTCAGAGATAACTTGACACTAACCTCTTCACAATATCCTATCTTCATCGTGTCAAGTTACCTCTGACGAAAATAGTTTGACCTAGTTTATATAAGCCAATCGAATCCAAGTTTCAAAATTTTTCACCAAAGTTTGGTGAAAACGCTGATTGGTTGACCGTCAATCGGTAATCCTCGGCTGATTCCGCAAGCTCCATACTAACAACAAAGTTATTGTCGAGTGCGGAGACATCCGAGTAGTTCCGAGTGCATAACCGTACACAAAGAAAGCATGGCGTCTCCTACGAGTGACTACGTAAAATAATGTGTTAAGTTATCTCTTGATTCTTTGCAAAATATGAGTATATCGGAATTGAAACCAGAGCAGTTGGAGGCCCTGCATCATTATCTACTGAGGGATGATGTATTTTGCGTGCTGCCCACAGGTTACGGCAAGTCCCTGATATTCAGCCTTATCTTTGATTGGTCCGGATTTGAACAAAGCGCGCTTTGACTCGTTCGCGTTCATTGGCTAGATCGTTCAATGAGTCATTGAGTGCGGGCTTTAAATTTGATTGGCGGGCGGCGGGG